AAATTTAAAGGAAAATATTTGTAAAGACTTTTTCATTCTTTATATTTCATAGATGTTGGTTTTTCACTCATTTCTGATATCTCTTGACTGTTAAGTTTAAGATGTTGAGGAGTAAATATAAGTGTGTTGGTTGTACTGGGAATGGGTAAAAGGTGTTGGGTGAGTTGTTTTTTACTTAAAGTAAATGTGGTCAGGAAAATGAAAGCTGAAGTAATGGAAAAAAATGTTTTATTATTAAATGATATATGAAGTGGTAAAATGAAAAAATCATTTCGAAATAGGAATATCAATAAGAAAATTGAGTAGGGAGTAAATAATAGAAGTGTTTTTTTTGCAAATCTTTAACTGTGATTTGTTTAGTTTTAAATATTAAAGAATTTGTTTTGAGATTCTTAATATTAAGGTAAAATTTCTAATATATCTATAGAGAGTTTCTAGAGAGAGCTTCGTAAAATTTTCTATAAAAATGACATAATTTAAAAAGATGAAAGTGAAATTTTTCGAAATTTTTCTATAAAAAGAGAATTTTTTCGAAAAATTTCTATAAAAGAGAAATTTATCGAAAATTTTGTACAAAAATAGAAAATTTTCTTATAAAAAGAGACTTTTTTTTATAATTTTCCGAAAATTTTCTATTAAATAAGAATTCGAAATTTTCCCATAAAAAGAGAAAATTTTCGGAAGTTTTCTATAAAAAAAAAGAAATTTTGTTCGAAAATTTTCTTTAAATTAGTTTTAAGAGTTTTTCGAACATTTTTTATAAGAAATAAATGTCTCGACAATTTTCTATAAGAGGGGAAAAATTTTTTAAAATTTTCTATAAAAAAAAAAAAAAAAATTTGGAAAAATTTCTAAAAAAGAGATACAAATTTCGGAAATTTTCTATAAATAGAGAAAAATTTTTTATAAAAAGAAAAATTTTTTAGAAATTTTTTATAAGAAGTGAAATTTTGCGAAACTTTTCTATAAAAAGAGAATTTTTTGGAAAATTTTCCATAAAAAGAGGATTTGGTTCAAAAATTTTCTATAAAAGAAAATTTGGTTCGAAAAAGAGAATTTTGTTCAAAGATTCACTTTAAAAAGAGAATTTTATTCGAAAATTTCCTTTAAAAGTAGAATTGTTTTCGAAAATTTTTTATAAAAAGAGAATTTTGTTCTAAAATTTTCTGTAAAAAGAGAATTTTCGAAAATTTTCTTTAAAAAGAGAATTTTGTTCGAAAATTTTTTATAAAAAGACAATTTTGTTCGAAAATTTTTTATAAAAACACAATTTTGTTCGAAAATTTTCTATAAAAAGAGAATTTTGTTCGAAAAATTTCTATAAAAAGAGAATTGTTCTAAATTTTCTATAATAAGAGAATTTGTTCGAAATTTTCTATAATAAGAGAATTTTGTTCGAAAATTTTCTATATGAAGAGTAATTTTGTTCGAAAATTTTCTATAAAAAGAGAATTTTGTTAGAACATTTTCTATAAAAAGAGAATTTTGTTCGAAAATTTTCTATAAAAAGAGAATTTTGTTCGAAAAATTTCTATAAAAAGAGAATTTTGTTCGAAAATTTTTTATAAAAAGAGAATTTTGTTCGAAAATTTTCTTTAAAAAGAGAATTTTGTTCGAAAATTTTCTTTAAAAAGAGAATTTTGTTCGAAAATTTTCTTAAAAAAGAGAATTTTGTTCGAAAATTTTCTTTAAAAAGAGAATTTTGTTCGAAAATTTTCTTTAAAAAGAGAATTTTGTTCGAAAATTTTCTTTAAAATGAGAATTTTGTTCGAAAATTTTCTTTAAAAAGAGAATTTTGTTCGAAAATTTTCTTAAAAAAGAGAATTTTGTTCGAAAATTTCTATAAAAAGAGAATTTTGTTCGAAAATTTTCTTTAAAAAGAGAATTTTGTTCGAAAATTTTCTTTAAAAAGAGAATTTTGTTCGAAAATTTTTTTAAAAAAGAGAATTTTGTTCGAAAATTTTCTTAAAAAAGAGAATTTTGTTCGAAAATTTTCTTTAATAAGAGAATTTAGTTCGAAATTTTTCTATAAAAAGAGAATTTTGTTCGAAAATTTTCTATAAAATGAGAAATTTTGTTCGAAAATTTTCTATAATAATATAAATTTTTTGAAAAAGAGAATTTTGTTCAATATTTTCTATAAAAAGAGAAATTTGTCGAAAATTTTCTATAAAAAGAAAAAATTTCTCGAAACTTTTTCTCCCTCTCTCATTAATGGTTTATGATTCTGCTAAAATGAAATATCAACAAAGCTGTCATTTTAATTTCCTTTTTAAAGTCAAAGGTTATTTTTAATAATTTTAAACTGATATCCGCAAAAATATTTCTTCAATGTCTTTGTGTTGTTGTCAGTTTTTGATATTTTTTTGAACTCTTTAAATTAAATTTCTCTGGTTTAGTGTTTTTGTTGAGTTTTGCGTTTTTTTTTTTTATTATTAAAGAGGGGTTAGATGAACAGTTGATGGTGGGTGGCTGGAGTTTTGTGATTGTTTGCTGCTTGTGCTTGGTTAATGATAACAAATATTTGTCCATTCTTTGTCTCCGATGAGACCAGCAGCATACTACTGTTGACACTTGTTGTCGCTGTTGTTGTACAATAATTCAATGAAATTAATTTATGTGTGCGAGAGGCAAAAATAGTGTGAGAATTTAGTTTCAGCAATAGTTCAGCATCATAATATTATACATATTTAAATGTAAATAAATACTTATTTTATGGTTTGAGTAAGTCCGTCTGCCTTCTCTCTTTTTATTACTGTTTTGTAAATAAACTGACGTTTTCTGTCACTGATAACAAAATGTGGTTTTCATTTAATAAATTGTATTTTATTTTATTTTTTTTTTGTTCTTTATTAAATATTTAATATTACTACGGGCTTATCTATTTTGGTAGCTTTATACTCATTTTATTTTTCTACAACTCATTACGAATATTTTGTTTAAACTTTTTTTCATATTTATTTTAGTTCATTTTGTGAGTCTTTTTGTTTTTATTTCAACAACAATAATAATATTAATGTCGTTGTCATTGTGCTGATTACACATTTATTCTGTGTTCTCTGTTGAATTTTACTGATAATTATGATAATATTTGGGTAGTTGTTGTTGTTGTTACATTTCTTTGCGCTTGTACCCTTTGATTCTGTAAGTAAGAGATAGGGGAGGCATAGTTGGTTTGTCGTTTGATTAGAACAATCAAAATCGAAGTTTTCGAAAATTTTGTACAAAATTTTGATTTTCTATGAAACGAACAATTTTGAAAACTTTCTATAAAAAGAGAAAATATTCGAAAATTTACTATAAAAGAGAAATTTTTCGAAAATTTTGTATATAAGGTAAAATTTTTTATAAAAAGAGATAATTTTCTACAAAAGAGACATTTTTCGAAAATTTTGTATAAAAAGAAATATATTTCGAAAATTTTGTATAAAAAGGGAATTTTTTGAAAATTTTCTATAAAAAGATACATTATTCGAAAAATGTTATATAAAAAGAGAAATATTTCGAAAATTTTCTATATAAAGATAAATTTATCGAAAATTTTCTATATAAAGAGAAATTTATCGAAAATTTTTCTGTAAAAAGAGAAATTTATCGAATAATTTTCTTTAAAAAGAGAAATTGATTGAACATTTTTCTATAAAAAGTGAAATTGATTGAAAATTTTTCTTTAAAAAGAGAAATTGATTGAAAATTTTTCTATAAAAAGTGAAATTTATCGAAAAATTTTCTTTAAAACCAGAAATTTATCGAAAAATTTTCTTTAAAAAGAGAAATTTATCGAAAAATTTTCTATAAAAAGAGAAAAATTTCGAAAATTTTGTATAAAAAGAGAAAATTTTTTATAAAAGAGAAATTTTTCGATAATTTTCTATAAAAAGAGAAAGAAGAGAAATTTATCTGAAAATTTTATATAAAAAGAGAAATGTATCGAAAATTTTTCTATAAAAAGAGAAATTTATCGAAAAATTTTCTATAAAAAGAGAAATTTATCGAAACATTTTCTATAAATAGAGAAATTTATAGAATAATTTTCTTTAAAAAGAAAAAATTATCAAAAATTTTCTATAAAATGTGAAATTTGTCGAAAGATTGTCTATAAAATGAGAAATTTATCGAAAAATGTTCTTTAAAAAGAGAAATTTATCGAAAAATGTTCTCTAAAAAGAGAAATTTATCGAAAAATTTTCTATAAAAAGAGAAATTTATCGAAAAATTTTCTATAAAAAGAGAAATTTATCGAACAATTTTCTATAAAAAGAGAAATTTATTAAAAAATTTTCTATAAAAAGAGAAATTTAGCGAAAATTTTTTATAAAAAGAGAAATTTATCAACAAATTTTCTATAAAAAGAGAAATTTATCGAAAAAATTTTTTATAAAAGAGAAGCTTTTCGAAAATTTTATATAAAAAAAGAAAATTTTCGAAAATTTTCTTTAAAAAAGAGAAATTTTTCGAAAATTTTCTATAAAAAGAGAAGATTTTGAAAAATTTTCTTAAAAGAGAAATTTTGCCAAAATTTTTTAAAAATTCTTCAGAAATTTTTATTAAAAATTTTAATTTCTCTAAAATTTTCTATAATTAGAGACATTTTCGAAAGTTTTCTATAAAAAGAGAAATATTTCGAAACAGATTTTCTATAAAAAGTGAAATATTTCGAAAAAAAAATTCTATAAAAATATAAATTTTGCGAAAATTTGTTAGAAATTCTTCAGAAATTTTCATTAAAAATTTTAAAATTTTCTATAAAAAGAGAATTTTATTTTTATATTTCTATAAAACTTCTGAAAGGGTTCTCTTCCATTCGTCTAAGCCCATTAAAAAACCATTTACAGTTTTTAATTTTATAACAGCGTCTCTGTGTGTTAGTATTGGTGTTGCTCTGATGTTGATGATCCCCTTAATAATTTGCATTCAACAGATTTGATTAAAAAAAACTCAGTATGTTTTTGTCTTTTAATATTAAAATACAAAACTTTTTTTTTAATTTTTTTCCGTTCCGTGTAAAAAATTTACCTCAAATGAATTTTTTTGTATAAAATTAAATCTAATTTTTTAATTTAATAAAAAAATATTCAAATTACAGAGATTTTTCTACTCAATTAAGGTATTTTTTAAAATAAATAAACAGATAATAATACGCAGCATCATGATAAATTTGTAAAATCAATGGAAAATAAAGTGCAAAATATTTAATAATATTAATTAAGAAGTAATAAATATCGGTATCCTAAGCTGAAATAAATGTCAATATTATGCCGACCATAAAATAAAGTGTCCTCAATGCGTAATATACTTCTGATTACTTATTGTGTTTTTTTCTTATTTAATCTTTTTACTTTCCTCTCATTTTCTCAGTTTATGAGTACAAATCGTAAAAGTTTAACGGCATATTTATTGTTAACGGTTATTAATTTTTATTAACGGTGTGTTTCTTTATTTATTTTTAAATAATCTATAAAAATATCATTTTAATTGCACATTACTGTCGCGCACTTCTAAGAAAACTTTATAAAAATAAATAACAATTAATCACAGAGCAATATAAAATATGAAGTACTTGGAAATAAATAGAACTACAAGTGAATTCAATTGGGAACTAACTAGAACTGAACTAGAACTGAACTAGAACTGAACTAGAACTGAACTAGAACTGAACTAGAACTGAACTAGAACTGAACTAGAACTGAACTAGAACTGAACTAGAACTGAACTAGACTGAACTAGAACTGACTAGAACTGAACTAGAACTGAACTAGAACTGACTGAACTAGAACTGAACTAGACTGAACTAGAACTGAAAACTAGAACTGAACTAGAACTGAACTAGAACTGAACTAGAACTGAACTAGAACTGAACTAGAACTGAACTAGAACTGAACTAGAACGGAACTAGAACTGAACGAGAACTGAACTAGAACTGAACTAGAACTGAACGAGAACTGAACTAGAACTGAACTAGAACTGAACTAGAACTGAACTAGAACTGAACTAGAACTGAACTAGAACTGAACTAGAACTGAACTAGAACTGAACTAGAACTGAACTAGAACTGAACTAGAACTGAACTAGAACTGAACTAGAACTGAACTAGAACTGAACTAGAACTGAACTAGAACTGAACTAGAACTGAACTAGAACTGAACTAGAACTGAACTAGAACTGAACTAGAACTGAACTAGACTGAACTAGAACTGAACTAGAACTGAACTAGAACTGAACTAGAACTGAACTAGAACTGAACTAGAACTGAACTAGAACTGAACTAGAACTGAACTAGAACTGAACTAGAACTGAACTAGAACTGAACTAGAACTGAACTAGAACTGAACTAGAACTGAACTAGAACTGAACTAGAACTGAACTAGAACTGAACTAGAACTGAACTAGAACTGAACTAGAACTGAACTAGAACTGAACTAGAACTGAACTAGAACTGAACTAGAACTGAACTAGAACTGAACTAGAACTGAACTAGAACTGAACTAGAACTGAACTAGAACTGAACTAGAACTGAACTAGAACTGAACTAGAACTGAACGAACTGAACTAGAACTGAACTAGAACTGAACTAGAACTGAACTAGAACTGAACTAGAACTGAACTAGAACTGAACTAGAACTGAACTAGAACTGAACTAGAACTGAACTAGAACTGAACTAGAACTGAACTAGAACTGAACTAGAACTGAACTAGAACTAGAACTGAACTTGAACTGAACTAGAACTGAACTAGAACTGAACTAGAACTGAACTAGAACTGAACTAGAACTGAACTAGAACTGAACTAGAACTGAACTAGAACTGAACTCGAACTGAACTAGAACTGAACTAGAACTGAACTAGAACTGAACTAGAACTGAACTAGAACTGAACTAGAACTGAACTAGAACTGAACTACAACTGAACTACAACTGAACTATAACTGAACTAGAACTGAACTAAAACTGAACTAGAACTGAACTAGAACTGAACTAGAACTGAACTAGAACTGAACTAGAAACTGAACTGAACTGAACTAGAACTGAACTAGAACTGAACTAGAACTGAACTAGAACTGAACTAGAACTGAACTAGAACTGAACTAGAACTGAACTAGAACTGAACTAGAACTGAACTAGAACTGAACTAGAACTGAACTAGAACTGAACTAGAACTGAACTAGAACTGAACTAGAACTGAACTAGAACTGAACTAGAACTGAACTAGAACTGAACTAGAACTGAACTAGAACTGAACTAGAACTGAACTAGAACTGAACTAGAACTGACTAGAACTGAACTAGAACTGAACTAGAACTGAACTAGAACTGAACTAGAACTGAACTAGAACTGAACTAGAACTGAACTAGAACTGAACTAGAACTGAACTAGAACTGAACTAGAACTGAACTAGAACTGAACTAGAACTGAACTAGAACTGAACTAGAACTGAACTAGAACTGAACTAGAACTGAACTAGAACTGAACTAGAACTGAACAACTGAACTACTAACTGAACTATAACTGAACTAGAACTGAACTAAAACTGAACTAGAACTGAACTAGAACTGAACTAGAACTGAACTAGAACTGAACTAGAACTGAACTAGAACTGAACTAGAACTGAACTAGAACTGAACTAGAACTGAACTAGAACTGAACTAGAACTGAACTAGAACTGAACTAGAACTGAACTAGAACTGAACTAGAACTGAACTAGAACTGAACTAGAACTGAACTAGAACTGAACTGGAACTGAACTAGAACTGAACTAGAACTGAACTAGAACTGAACTAGAACTGAACTAGAACTGAACTAGAACTGAACTAGAACTGAACTAGAACTGAACTAGAACTGAACTAGAACTGAACTAGAACTGAACTAGAACTGAACTAGAACTGAACTAGAACTGAACTAGAACTGAACTAGAACTGAACTAGAACTGAACTAGAACTGAACTAGAACTGAACTAGAACTGAACTAGAACTGAACTAGAACTGAACTAGAACTGAACTAGAACTGAACTAGAACTGAACTAGAACTGAACTAGAACTGAACTAGACGACTAGAACTGAACTAGAACTGAACTAGAACTGAACTAGAACTGAACTAGAACTGAACTAGAACTGAACTAGACTGAACTAGAACTGAACTAGAACTGAACTAGAACTGAACTAGAACTGAACTAGAACTGAACTAGAACTGAACTAGAACTGAACTAGAACTGAACTAGAACTGAACTAGAACTGAACTAGAACTGAACTAGAACTGAACTAGAACTGAACTAGACTGAACTAGAACTGAACTAGACTGAACTAGAACTGAACTAGAACTGAACTAGAACTGAACTAGAACTGAACTAGAATTGAATTAGAACTGAACTAGAACTGAACTGAACTAGAATTGAATTAGAACTTAACTAAGACTTAAGATCATATACAACATAGACTATATTTGAATACTTTTAGTACAAATGTTCTGTGAGCACGATAAGTGTTTTTAAATAATATTGTTTAAATTTAATTTCAGTGGTTTTAATATGGAGGCCACGTGCGGTTTGAATAATTTTATTAAATAAACATATCATTCCAATTATTATTAACTTTTTCTTATTCAACCTACTTTCAGAATATTTGCGAAACTTTGGCGCCAGTTGCTGTCACCATCGCTGCAGTAGCTGCTAAAGAAATAGAAACACTCAAACAAACGTTACAGGAAAAGGACACGCTTTTAATGGCCATGGAGGCTACGTGTATAACGGATTCCGAAAGGCAAGCCGAACTGGAAGACAGTGTTATAGCATGGCAAGATAAATACGATCGTCTTTATGAATCACATAAGCGAGTGCAGAAAGTTAACCAAAGTTTAGAAGATAAACTATTAAAGTTGGTAGATCGTAATACCGGAGAAAGAGCACAACTAACCAGTGATGTGGCCACACTCAGTGTGCGTTTGGCACAGGCCAATTTCAATATATCCAAATTGCAAAGAGATATTGTGAGTAACAAATTTTCTTAATTTTCCCCAATGTGAATAATTTATATTTATTTGCAACACTAATAATATTACAAACTAAATTAAATACTAACTATGTATGTGTGAAAAACTATTACAAATTTATTCCAAAAGCGATATTAGTACAAAAAAAAACTTTAAATACCTTAATTTGTAATTTAATAGTTTTCTAACTAAACTTTCCACCTGGACTCTGTTGTTGTTGCCTAAATGGTACATAATTGATTTTTGTTAACTAAACTGAAATTTTATATTTCTATTTTATAGTTTAAACATTTACATATTTGTTGTTGCTGTTATTATAATTAAGCTTTGTGGTCCTGTATAAGTTTTTGAATACAACGTATATTTATTTTGTTATAGAATTTCATTTCACTTTATTCTATTTTGGATTTTGTATGGTTGTAAAACCAGAGAGAGTTAAAACCCTACAAAATGAAAATTGTTTTTTGCGGTCTATTTTATTATAAAATCGTACAATTTCCTTTTTTTTAGTTTGAAACAAAAAGGTCAAAAAGTTGTGTGTTAGTAGTTTTTCTATTTTGTGTTTCCCTTGTTGTTGTTGCTGCTGTTTTTCTAACCATTAATTATTTTTTCAAACATTGATAAAAATAGTAAAAATCAGAATTATTAGTTAGGAGAGAAAGTATTTTAAAAGTAAATTAGTTTCTGTTCTAGTTCTGTTCTAGTTCTGTTCTAGTTCTGTTCTAGTTCTGTTCTAGTTCTGTTCTAGTTCTGTTCTAGTTCTGTTCTAGTTCTGTTCTAGTTCTGTTCTAGTTCTGTTCTAGTTCTGTTCTAGTTCTGTTCTAGTTCTGTTCTAGTTCTGTTCTAGTTCTGTTCTAGTTCTGTTCTAGTTCTGTTCTAGTTCTGTTCTAGTTCTGTTCTAGTTCTGTTCTAGTTCTGTTCTAGTTCTGTTCTGTTCTGTTCTGTTAGTCTGTTCTGTTCTGTTCTGTTCTGTTCTGTTCTGTTCTGTTCTGTTCTAGTTCTGTTCTAGTTCTGTTCTAGTTCTGTTCTGTTCTAGTTCTGTTCTAGTCTGTCTAGTTCTGTTCTGTTCTAGTTCTGTTCTAGTTCTGTTTCTAGTTCTGTTCTAGTTCTGTTCTAGTTCTGTTCTAGTTCTGTTCTAGTTCTGTTCTAGTTCTGTTCTAGTTCTGTTCTAGTTCTGCTCTAGTTCTGTTCTAGTTCTGTTCTAGTTCTGTTCTAGTTCTGTTCTAGTTCTGTTCTAGTTCTGTTCTAGTTCTGTTCTAGTTCTGTTCTAGTTCTGTTCTAGTTCTGTTCTAGTTCTGTTCTAGTTCTGTTCTAGTTCTGTTCTAGTTCTGTTCTGTTCTAGTTCTGTTCTAGTTCTGTTCTAGTTCTGTTCTAGTTCTGTTCTAGTTCTGTTCTAGTTCTGTTCTAGTTCTGTTCTAGTTCTGTTCTAGTTCTGTTCTAGTTCTGTTCTAGTTCTGTTCTAGTTCTGTTCTAGTTCTGTTCTAGTTCTGTTCTAGTTCTGTTCTAGTTCTGTTCTAGTTCTGTTCTAGTTCTGTTCTAGTTCTGTTCTAGTTCTGTTCTAGTTCTGTTCTAGTTCTGTTCTAGTTCTGTTCTAGTTCTGTTCTAGTTCTGTTCTAGTTCTGTTCTAGTTCTGTTCTAGTTCTGTTCTAGTTCTGTTCTAGTTGTTCTAGTTCTGTTCTAGTTCTGTTCTAGTTCTCGTTCTAGTTCTTTCTAGTTCTGTTCTAGTTCTGTTCTAGTTCTGTTCTAGTTCTGTTCTAGTTCTGTTCTAGTTCTGTTCTAGTTCTGTTCTAGTTCTGTTCTAGTTCTGTTCTAGTTCTGTTCTAGTTCTGGTTCTAAGTTCTGTTCTAGTTCTGTTCTAGTTTGTTCAGTTCTGTTCTAGTTCTGTTCTAGTTCTGTTTCTTAGTTCTGTTCTAGTTCTGTTCTAGTTCTGTTCTAGTTCTGTTCTGTTCTAGTTCTGTTCTAGTTCTGTTCTAGTTCTGTTCTAGTTCTGTTTCTAGTTCTGTTCTAGTTCTGTTCTAGTTCTGTTCTAGTTCTGTTCTAGTTCTGTTCTAGTTCTGTTCTAGTTTCTTTTCTAGTTCTGTTCTAGTTTCTGTTCTGAGTTCTGTTCTATTCGTTCTAGTTCTGTTCTAGTTCTGTTCAGTTCTGTTTCTAGTTCTGTTCTAGTTCTGTTCTAGTTTGTTCTAGTTCTGTTAGTTCTGTCTATTTCCTGTTCTGGTTCCAGTTCAGGTTCTGTTCTCTCACTCTCGTTGCTAATAATCTCACAAAAAAACTGTACATTGCTTAACTAGCCTCATTGTTTTCTGTAAGTTGTATGATATTTATTCTTTTTTCCGATGTTTATTTTATTGTTTATTATATTTGCACTCTCTCTCGTCATATCTATGAACAAAACAAAACACTTGAAGGTGTAAACCATAAAAATTGCATGCCATTGTAGTTGGTTTGTTTATGTAGTTGTTGATTTCGTTGTTCCTGTTAAAAAAAGTTATGCTCTGCAAAGAGAGTGAGGAAATGTAAAATGTTATAAGTATGATGAGTCGGGGTCTATGTGTGGATTTTTGTACTGGGAATAATGTTTAAGGTGTGTAATCAGAGCTGAGAGGAGCTAGGTAGTAACAAGTCCCGTTATATTAGTTTTAAACGTGTTCTACAGAAACAAGTTCAAAAAATGTTGTAACAAAAGTAAAAGGATATAATTACAACTTCTTTCTTTCTACTCCCATTATCTTCTTTTTTTTTGTATTTAGTTTTATTTTAGTTGTTTAGTGTTTGTTTAAAAGTATATAAATTACAAATAAGTTTTATTATAAGTTAGTAACTAAATAAGAGAAAATGGTGTTTAGATTAAAAGGAAATGAAAACAATTTCTATAGAATTTAGTAAATTTTAACGAGTTTTTATAAAGGAAATTTTAAGGTGCTTTTACTCTAGTTTTAAAATTTTTTATGTGGTTTAAGTATTAAAAAAGTTTTGAAATTAAAAAGTATTTAATTAATATTTAAAGCAGCTTAAGCAGATATGAACAATTTGTTTATAATAATTTATACCTACGGGTGGTATGATTGTTATGAACAGGAGTAAAATATTAATAATACGTACCGGATGAAAAATGATAATAACAATTAAACAATTAAAATTTTTTTATCAGTTCTAGTTTTATTATAATTTAGTTCTAGTTCGTTTCCAGTTCAATTCTAGTTCAGTTCTAGTTCAGTTCTAGTTCAGTTCTAGTTCAGTTCTAGTTCAGTTCTAGTTCAGTTCTAGTTCAGTTCTAGTTCAGTTCTAGTTCAGTTCTAGTTCAGTTCTAGTTCAGTTTCTAGTTCAGTTCTAGTTCAGTTCTAGTTCAGTTCTATTTCAGTTCTAGTTCAGTTCTAGTTCAGTTCTAGTTCAGTTCTAGTTCAGTTCTAGTTCAGTTCTAGTTCAGTTCTAGTTCAGTTCTAGTTCAGTTCTAGTTCAGTTCTAGTTCAGTTCTAGTTCAGTTCTAGTTCAGTTCTAGTTCAGTTCTAGTCAGTTCTAGTTCAGTTCTAGTTCAGTTCTAGTTCAGTTCTAGTTCAGTTCTAGTTCAGTTCTAGTTCAGTTCTAGTTCAGTTCTAGTTCAGTTCTAGTCAGTTCTAGTTCAGTTCTAGTTCAGTTATAGTTCAGTTCTAGTTCCGTCTAGTTTCAGTTCTAGTTCAGTTCTAGTTCAGTTCTAGTTTCAGTTCTAGTTCAGTTCTAGTTCAGTTCAGTTCTAGTTCAGTTCTAGTTCAGTTCTAGTTCAGTTCTAGTCAGTTCTAGTTCAGTTCTAGTTCAGTTCTAGTTCAGTTCTAGTTCAGTTCTAGTTCAGTTCTAGTTCAGTTCTAGTTCAGTTCTAGTTCAGTTCTAGTTCAGTTCTAGTTCAGTTCTAGTCAGTAGTTCAGTTCTAGTCAGTTCTAGTTCAGTTCTAGTTCAGTTCTAGTTCAGTTCTAGTTCAGTTCTAGTTCAGTTCTAGTTCAGTTCTAGTCAGTTCTAGTTCAGTTCTAGTTCAGTTCTAGTTCAGTTCTAGTTCAGTTCTAGTTCAGTTCTAGTTCAGTTCTAGTTCAGTTCTAGTTCAGTTTCTAGTTCAGTTCTAGTTCAGTTCTAGTTCAGTTCTAGTTCAGTTCTAGTTAGTCTCAAGAAGTAATATTAACTTGTTAACTTTAACTGTTTAACTTTAAAATTCCCCCTTTTTTAATAAAGTTTGTATTTATTCAAAAGTACTTATTAAATACCGTGTTGATTTCCTACAAATTCTTAAAAAACTCTTGAAATATTTCACTAAAATGTTATCCAAAAATAAAAAGAAAAATAATTTACTGACAGTTTTATTTGCGTGACTCTTAAGTTTTTCTTTTTCATATCCTGACTCCTTACATTACAGGAAGTCAATAACCCCTTTTTTGTGTTCCTTTGTTTTTACTTAAACTTTATTTCGTTTTGTTTGTTGTTTATTTTTACTACTTTTTTTAATAGGATACTCTACATGAGTGTATGTGTGTATGGATAAAATTTGCTATTTAAATATGGCTGTGTATCCTTTTTTAGTAACAAACGTATTACGTTGCGTTGTTTTTTTTTCGTTTTCTTTTGTCATTCTATTTAATTTTTTTGTACTTTCTTCAAATTTTATTGTTTTTGTCACAGACGACATATCTCTTCAACGAGCTAATAAAAGTGTCGGAAAGGAATTTAAGCACTTGGTCATGTTTTTATAAAAAAAAAAAAAATAACAAACCCCAAGAATAACTAGAATAGAAAAGGGAACTTTAAATATTTAGTCCTTCTGTTGAAAGCAAATAAGTACAAATCACACTTATACAAATGCATACATATATGTATAGACCTCTATACACATAAACAATGAGTCATATTAAAAACATTTAATCCTGTCTTAAGTTGGAAAGAAAAAGGATTCAGAAAAAAGGGAAAAAAGTATTAACATAAAAATAAAAAGCAATAGTTTACAAAAGTATCTCCATATTGTGTTTGTATGTAACGGCGTA